ATGAGCTCCTTGATATGTGCTTGAGAATGGCTTAGTCTCTGGTTAAACCCAGGTTTAAAGCCTTGCAGGGCAGCCTAAAGCCCACTGCCAACATTAAGACAGAAAAAAGAAAGAAAATAACAAACGATCAGTTCAGGTGTTTGAGAAAATATATGAATCAGGAAATTGTCTATAAACCAAACTAAATGATCGTTGTTCTCTACTTCAAAAACCACTTTACATTTTATGAATGCAAAAATTTTCTTTTTTTCCCCCGATTTTTTAATTTAAAAATTTACTGTATAACATCGATGCATAAAAAAAAACTAATTTTATTTCAGTGAAATTCTGTTTAAAGTAACAGATTATAATTTAAAATCTCTCCAGACCTTTACTGGTTGATGATTTTCTTTATTTGGACCCCAATGATTTTTAATTGGTTACCTCTGGCCTAGTGTGGTAGAGCAGTGTGCTTATGCTCCGAGAAGGAGCATTCTGGGTCCCTGAGCCAGACCCTTAACCCACACTGCTCCCCAAGTGGATGGGTTAAATGCAGAGAATTCGTTTCTCCACTGTGAGATCAGTGAAGTTCAATTAATTTATTTTTTTAATTATTAATCAAAGTATACCTTAGGATTCTTATAACCAGGTCTGTGTATGTTTTTTTTTCAGGTCAAAGCCTACCTTGATCTGTGCAACAGCTCCACAGGAGTTTGTTTGATAGGTATGAATATTTTCTGCTAATCTCGTCTTATTCTTTCTGGTTTCTTTACTGTTAAAGTCTAACAGAAATATTATTTCTCCTCTTTTTCAGGTCCACCTGGTCCCAGAGGTACCGGAGCCACTATTCAGTTTTCTGTATAACTCTTTACGGTTTGTTGCTCCTGCATTAAAAGTTTTTTTGTGTATCAGGTGTGCGTGGCAGGCCTGGCCCCCCAGGACCACCAGGTGCACCAGGCCCAGAGGGAAGACGAGGACGCAGAGGTCAGGATCCTTTTCGGTGTCTCAGCCAATGAAAAATGTCCAGAGTCTTTAACAGTAGCTCAAAACAGATGAAGAAATCCAGACACAGAAGCTGTTTCCATGTTTTAAACAGTCTGTCATTGTTTGGCTGGGATTGCACAACACGGTCATAACACTCACTGCCTGCGGGACATTTAGTCTGCAGCCGCTGCAGACGTGTTTACTGCACTGAGGTGTCTGTGATTCCTACAGCTGATTAACGGGAATTATTTAACTTCAACATAAACTAGAAAAGCCTCGTGCTAACAGCGCTGTTTCTTCTTCATCCAGGATAAACTCTTTTGTGTTGAACATCAAAAGAAAGTTGTCGTGTTCAGTCATGTTTCATGTGACTCAGAGGGAGAACCAATTAACTCTGGTTCATCCTGTTTTCTTAAGGCTTAGTCTTTGGTTACGGCAGCTTTTGATTGTTATAATCCTTCCTGTTATTAACGGTAGCAAATGTCAGTAAGTTCCACAATCTAATGATGTTGTTGGAGTTAAACAAAGACACATATTTAAACGCTAAAATTAATAGAAGCTACATATATCTTCTGCTTTTTTTGTAGCATTAGAATCTTTTAACCTTCAAAAAATGTTTACATCAAACATAGATAAGTTGGTTAAACAAAAGCAATGAAGTTAATTCATCTAAACCAACCTGGAAACCAATCTATGAAGATATTTACTCTCTAAACCAACAGATCTGATGGCAGGAACATTAAGCTTTGGTGGAGAGTAACTAAGTACATTTACTTGATTACTGTCCTGAACAGAATCATCATCATTTATGATGCTTGTCCACATTAAGATCAGACGTCCAGTAAAGTGTATCCAAATGCATCTGATGCTTGCATCTGACCCAATAGGCCTGTAAGCAACATTATCTGGGTGGGCCCCATATGAAGTACAACACCTGATAAAGGTTCAGGAAACAACGACAGTTACATAATTCAGCCAAGAAGATACAATTATGCAATAAATTATTACAAAACACACAAAATAGTGACTGCACACCTTGAATGGAACCATTGGGGACAGCGCACCACATGTCACAGACAGTCTGTCTCCCTGCCAGCTCCCAGATCAGCTTCTCTGATTGGTTGATGTGGTGCGTCAAACAGCAAAAGTTACATTTTTCAAACTCCAGCATCTGCAGCTTTTGCCTCCAACGCGTCAGATACTTACTGCTGCTTGAAATGAGCTGCAGGACCTTTTGCTGCGCCATGATGTGCATCAACCAGAGGCGTGCACAGACATTTTGGGGGGCAGGTGCTCAGGAGGAGGGGGTGGGGGGGCAGACTAAAGCGTACTACTTTAAAGTAGTACGCTTGCTCATCTATCTTCTACTTTCATCTGGCTCATCTCCCTGTTTTCCCTCACCCATCTGTTCTCCCTATCCTGCTCTTTTTCTGTCTCTGTGTCTTCCCTGAACTCTTCCTCATCTCCTGTCCTGGTAGATGTTGATGGTATAGAGCTTCCCTGCTGTGACTGGCTACAATATAATAATAATAACCATCATGACAATAATGATGATAATAATAATAATAATAATAATAATAATAATAATAATAATAATAATAATAATAATAATAATAA